CAGATATTCTGGTACCTATGCACTGAATCAACAGTTTCAACACCATCAATGAATTTTATTTTTTCCCTTTTGCAAATGTCTTGGCGGTGTAATTAAGAGTTAAAAGGAAAAAGTCTTTAGGCTAATTTCTCTTACCAATAATAATATGCAATTATTTTTATTTAAAAGTCTGCTTGATCATTTGAAGTTGGCACAAGTAGCATTACCACTTGGATTAGGCTTGACTACACAAAAATATCCATCAACTTCAGAAACATTCAACACTTATAAAATTTTAAAATGATTTTGACACAGAATAAATTCCTTCTGGTCTTGTTAACTAGTATGTAGGGACAGAAAATTTCTTACTGATATGTATTATAAAATTGGAAATTTCAATGACCAAGAACTCTGCCTCCAGGTGTGGCCAAAGCAGCTGTGACATTTATGAAAACCCTTTGGAAGGATCTAATAAAGCATATTCTCCACATATCTTCCTTGTGTTTAAGTCATATGATGTAAAAATTTCATACAGAAAACAAACCTAAATCACTGGAAACCAATTATATATAGCAAAATAACATGGTAAGTCTATGTAGGAAATGCAGTTTAAATGTTTTTCAGGTTTCAAAAAATTAATATTGCAAATATTATCAATGATCCTCTTCTACGAAGCATAGCTCACAAGTCAATTCTTTTCAAGGACGACATCACCACAGGGCAGTGTCAAGGACAAAGATGAATGACCAGAGGGTGGCAGAAAAGACATCAAAGCTGGTTATTAAAGTTAACATTTCATAAATGCATGCTGTTCTTGTGTTTAATGCCATGAGGATCAAAAACTGTTCAAGCCAACCTGATTAACTTCGGAGGGTAAGGACTTGTACGCTTAGCTCATGACCAGGTGCTGCTATAGATGCTGCCTCATTCAGACCTAACTAAGCCTGGCTAGCAACCCAGGAGCTGGGTTTGTTTGGTTGGTTTTTGGTGAAGGAACGCTGAAAACTGGACATTTTGTTCTCATTAGACTGAAAAGGGAGTAGCTACCCAAGGACCCAAAGCCAGTAATTGGCCAAAGCTGCTTGTTGGGTCCCCCAAACTATCTCTTCCATTAGATCAGTGGTGCATGGTATCAAAATGAGTTACCTCCAAACTTTTCAGCAAAAAGTCACATCCCAAGAAGCATTAAAACTGCTTGTTGAACCATGCTTTTTTAAATCATGCAAATGTGTGTGCATTATATAAATATGCGTTATATATGTGTCTACTACACGTACATGTGTCTATTATATATACATGTATAGCATATGCATGCATTGTTATACATGTGTTTATTATACATGAGTATCTTTCATACATATGTATATTAGACATGCATGTGCATTATACATGCACACGTGCATCATGCATGTGTGCCTATTGTGTCTGTTATGCATACATGTGAGTATTATTCATTCACAGGTGTATCATACATATAGGTGTGCATTGCATGCATGTACTATGCATACACATGTACATTATCTATTACATATGTGTGTATCATAGATACATTTATGTATCAGTCACATATGTCTATCATGCATACATGTGTTTATTACACATTCACATGTGTGCATTACATGTGTATATATGATTATAAATGTGTATATTATGCATAGGCATATATATATTACTATATGTATATTTTCTGAAACACTCAAACTAAAATTCCCTCCAAATAAAAACACAGCTTACCTTGTCATAATTTATGTACATATACACACACACACACACTCACATAACCCATTCACTAGATAGAATTTATTCTCCAAAACATATGCCCACTGAGGATACTGGAAAGCTCAGAGCACCTGGAAGGGAAGGAATGGAGAGGACACTGCCTTCCTATTAGTGTGGGAAGTAGGTGTGATAATTCTTGGTTTTACCCTGTGGGTCTTCCTTCCTCCATTTACCTTGAAAACTCTTGTGTCAGCAACAAATTGTGACAGTATGTAAAACTTTTCAATTAACTAGTGTAATACACAGTAGACCTTTAAACACTTAATAATATTAATGGAATTAGAAAACTGGCTCCCCAGGCTTGTAAAATGCAAAGCTTAGCAGTTATGCACAGGACAGTGTCCAAAGGGGGCACACATGCTATTAAAGGTTGACCCAGCTTCTTCAGAATAACTCTAAGGCAGTTAAGAGGTTTATAATCAAACAAAATAATCCAAGAACTCATTTAAGACAATTAAGTTATTTGTTAAATGAATAGGAATAACATCATGCATTGAACAGGTATTTTAAGACTTCTGAATTATTTTAGCTGATTATCACTGATGACTGGAAGAACCAATTCAGCTTTACTGATGGTGGCTGATCTGGTAGAAATCTATCATCACATAGGTTCCCCTGTATTTTTTCTAAGATTCTAGCTGGTTCAGTTTTTGGAGTCATGTTGCATCTTAGATTTAATCATGGCAGAATGTCTAAAAGGCAAAGACAGATAAAAGCACATAGCAACTTAATCTTGTAGTAAGATCTAAGGCGCAACTTATGAAATTTGAACACATTTGTAAAAGGAATCCTGAAAGGTATTCCCAAATCAAAAAAGATTTCCCATATCATTCCAAAACCAGATTGTAATGGATTTTAGATGATGTTTCATGCAAATTTAATAATGAAATGCCCTTCTGATCCAGCAGCAGATATTTGAAACGCCGAAAAGGTCTGGTGGCAGCCAGACTGCAGACGCCCAAGTGAATGTTTTCCTTCGAGATAAATAAGGCCATGGCAGCTGCTGCCTGTGCCTAACAGCCCTGGGTCCATACGAATCAGGCACAGAATTGCTGAATGGAACAGATAGTTTTATTACCAGTTTTGATTTAAAAAAAAAAAGCTTTGCTTAAGAGAAAACCAGCTTACCATGTCATAATTTATGTACATATGTGTGTGTATATATGCACACACACACACCCCATTCACTAGATAGAATTTATTCTCCATAACCACCTCTTTATTCCAGAAATTATATTTGTAACTTTGTAGACATTTGCTTTCCACAGCATAGTCCTTCCACATTAGAAAAAAACTTGTAAGATAACACAAAGTTTTTGGTTTATTTAATTTGTAATTACATTAGGAACTCCACCCCACATGAGATTTAAAAAAGAGGTTCCCCCCACACACACAGTTACTGGGCATTGACCATTAACCAGAGTGTCCTACCCACTGAGCTATATCTCTAGATATTTATTTATTTTTAAAAATTTTGAGACAGGGTCTCACTAAGTTGATAAGATAATGAGGCTGGCCTCTAACTTGCTATCCCCCTGCCTCAGAATCCCAAGTAGCTGGAATTGCCAGTGTATGCCTCCAAGCCCTACACCAAATGAGATTTTAATCATATAAATGCACTTGTCTTCAACATCTGAACTGCAAAGTAATTTAAGTGTTCAGTAATATAACTGAACATTCAATCTTGATGTAGTAGGTGGTCTAAATTCAATATGGAATTGTGCTGAACAAAAGGTCTACAACTATTATGATAATTTCTTGGGGTGGGTTACAAGCTGCTATCCTATCAAAACTCTTTTGCAATTTGTATAGTTGTATAATAGGTGTCATGAGTTCAGATCAAAATAAAGTTATTTCCTTAAAATTGGTTTGAGGTAACAAAAGAAAGTACTTATGTAATGAGAGAAATGAAGAAAAAGTGCATTTGCATTTAGCATCTGATTATACCTTCAAAATGTGAGAAACAATGTTGAATCAATGATAAAGTTCACTTAAGTCGCAACATTTCTGAACAAAAGCAGTTTAGAACCAAATAATTCTAGAGTAATATCAGCCCCTTGCTTTGAAAGACAATTTACAGATGTAATCCAAACAAAAAGTCCTGTAGACATTTCATCATCACACCCCACAACTAGTAATCACATGGAGTTCAGGAAAAAAAAAATAGCCAATTCAAAATATAAGGTGCTTGTTCTTTAAGAAAACCCTTGATGGCTAGTGATTACCAGTAAAGAGAAAACCTGATTAAAGTTTTCATCCCGCTCTCAAACTCTGAAAGCTGCAGAGTCATCATATGCTGGAGGAGTTGGCAGCTGTCTTTCTGTGTTCCATTTCACTGAAAGGGAGCTACAGAGAACACAGGCACAGCAGAGCCAGAATCTCCGGCAAAGTGTTTGTGTGCACAGCTGGAGGGCGCTTACCAGGCTGTACACAGCATCCTTGGCTTGGGCACTCCAGTGGGCAGTGTTAAGTTGCACTGCCATGCAACCTGACCATTAATGAGTCCCTGTCACACCTTCCCCTAACCTTGGTCCATTAGCCAATATGCTTCAAAAACACATCTTTCACTGTCCCCAAAGTGACACTACTCTTGCTCTGTATTACCTAATGAGACAAAAATCAAGACAATAAATTATGTAACAAGGACTTGTCAGGATCCTCTACAGCAAAAAAGGCCATTGGGAAGAACCAAACTTTATATACACTTAATCATCAAGAGGAAAAACTGGAGTCTTATAATACCCTCTCATTTTTATCAGAACTGATTGTTTTGTTTTAAAGTGTTGTCCGTGGCTGTATTAGCAAATGGCTTTAAAAATGCTTTCCAACATCAACATGTTCTGGCACTGACTTTTTTTTGTTTTTGGTCAATCTAATTTTAAGTAATAATTTTTTTTAAAAGGCTTTTATTCAGAAGGAAAAATGAGAGAGGAGGAGAGAGAGAGAGAGAGAGAGAGAGAGAGAGAGAGAGAGAGTTTTTCTTAGATTTCTAAAACAGAGCTCTTTAACTTTGAGGACCTAAAGCAAAGATATTTTATAAAAGGCTAACTAGTATTCATGGATCTCTACCAAACACTGGATCACAAATCATCATTCCAGAAAGGGGCCAAACGTTGGGTTCCACAGGCTAGAAACAGGGAAACTCCCGGAACACAGGATGAAGTTTATTTCAATTATACCGCAGAAAAACTGAGTAGGAAACTTCCTTTCTGAATGACTTGCACACTTAAACACGGACTTACCAGGGCACTGGCTCCTGGGGAAGTAGGGCTCTTGATATTCTCCTCCTCGGGATTCTGGGGGTCTTCATCAGGTCCCCGAGTAACAAGAATTCGGAAATGCTGCTGCCCTGCGTTTTGATCTTGCCTGATCTTAAACGTGCACCCTTGACCCTGTGGAGTCCTCTCCATGGAATTCGTCCTACGAATCTCTGGAGCCATCCTGCCAGCCCGAGGTGGCGCCTCTGGGGCTCCTCGGTCTTCTGTAGGGCTCCCCCGCCCTGCTCGGGGCTGGGTAGGATAAGAAGTGCTCCTCTCTAGCCGAATACGGGGATACCTCACCAACCTGTCGCCCTTTGTGCCGGTGAAGCCAAAATTGAAGTCCCCGCCCAGTCCTGGAGCACCTGGTTGGGGCTGCTGCAACTGGAAGACAAAGCACCGTTTCCCAGAGCTTCCAGAAGCATCTGGAACATGCTGCAAGGACCAACGCCTGGGTTCAGGCGCAGCCGGGCCTGACTGGCCGTCGGGGCCCAAAGGCAGCAGCCGCACCTGGCGCACATCTGCACTGGAGGCTCGGTGCTGGATGCGAAGGCCAGGGGTGGCCTCCTCGGTGCTGTTGGCTGGACCAGGGCATCGCACGCGGCGGCCACATGTGCCATTGACCTGGGGCCCCGGGTCTCGGGCTGCCCTTGGAGGGGAGCTCCCGGGGGTGTCCCCTGGTGAGGGGTCCTGAGAGCTGCTCTGAGACGAGGCTCTTGTGGCCAAGGCGGTGGTAACCTGGTCCCCGAAGTCGGAGGCAGTGCTCGGGGGTCGGTCATCAGGGCCTTCCGGTGGCCCGCACCCGTCGGTGGCACCATCAGCGGCCTTACGCTGCAGGGAGATCTGCACCGATGAGCTGCGGGTGGGGCGGGCGTCAATGCCCGTGAGCAGCTGCGGGATGAACATGGACGTGCTGCGCTTGAGTGCGCCCACGCCTTCTTGTAGGCCACTGCCACTGTCCTCCCGTCCGTTCTGGGCGAAAGGGTGCGGGCCGCTCCTCCGCGGGAGGGTGTGGAATGCCATGAAAAAGTCGTCTTCTCTCTCCTGGTCTAGGATCTCTGACTCGGGGGCTGTGTTGCTGCGACTAGAGCCAAAATGAAACCGCAGCCGATGGGCCATGGTGACCAGGGGGGCCGGGAGGGAGAGGGCGAGCGGCAACAACAAGCCCGGCACTGCCAGAAGTCAAAAACCAACGACACCAACTCCAAGAAAAAGTGTCCCATCTGCCAAACTGTTAGCACTGCCGCACCAAGAGCGACAGATAGCAGAAATAGCCCAAGTGGCAAGCGGCATTCCAGGCATGATTGGATAAGAGCAAAAAGCTCTCATCTACACTGTGACAGAGGGTAGGATGGCCAGAACCACATGACCGTGCTCTCCCCCTCCAATGCCAGCTTGTGGACTCTGTGCAGTTTCCCCCCTCTCCCTATTTTTTTTTTTTTTTAAAACAGCAAGAGCATGAAACAGCACCTTCCCAGCTGCTGCTGTCCCGTCAGAAAGCAGCAGCCCAGCGGGGAGCTGCGCAGCTTACTGAGGCAGCAAACACACCTCGAGCTGTGCTGCTGTAAATCTGCCCGCATCACATTCATGGGACATTTCTTTCCCAACTACTCAGAGCCCTGGGACTCTCTAACCGGTGCCAGGGATCCGGCACTAAACACAAGCACACACTGGTATGTCCCCACCTCTCCACCACAGCAAATAATGACAAGTACAGCTTAGCTGCATGGGGAGGGGGTAGTTCACAAGCATCAGAGGTTATGTTTCTGTTATTTATGATATCACTACACTACCATGACGGAATGCAAACTAATAAAAGGTACTATAAATACGATTACACACCCCACAGAATTAGTGTCCCTTTAGTGGGAAATAATTAGACCATGATCTACAAGTAACAAAATAGCTTCGTGGGGCACAATTTACTACACAGCCAGCTGTGCATCTGGGCTGCCTCTTGCTACTATGAACATTTTTCATTTAAAAGGGGCACATGTGCCTCTCACATGTAATAGGATCCACACATACAGAAGTACCAGACAAAAAGAACTCAGCTGAATAAAATATTCTCTTATATGCCAGATAGGTGAACCCCTTCACACCCATACAGAAAACATCAGGGAAAATTGAAGGCGGATATGCATGTGGTTTTCTATAGTAATTTAACTTAAAATACCATACAGAAAAAAATGCTGCTTGGAGCCGACTCTTTTCCAGTAGGAAGTCGGCAATATTACCCCAGTTGGGATTCAAACATGGAATCTTGCTATCTGCAGTAAGCCAAAAAGGACCTAAGAAATAAAAGGGCACATTCAAAAAACTGTCATCGGGTTTGTTGTTAGTCTGGGTAGTCTTGTAGTTATTCTGTTTCAAACTTAGTATTTTCTATGATCCAGAAACATTAGAGGTTTATTTAGGAGGGGGTTAAAAAATTAAGAAGGGGAAAATACCAAACTGCAATGAATGACAAAAAGTTTATTTTAAAATCTGCAAAGCATAGCTTTGTCAACAGTTCTAGAGTCAAGGGTGTGGAGGATTAACCCTGCATTTACACACATCTAAACCCGTTTTCTAAAAGCATGAGTTTTAAATGCCAAAAAATCATCTCTCTGAGGGAATGGAAGCTAGCTTGTTTAACGCTAGAATTTCCAAGTACTACTAGAGTCACGCATTATCTTCACTGGATTAATAGCCAACAAAGAAAAAAGCCACCACCACCAACCAGCATTCTTTGCATAGTAACAACACTGCAGACAGCCTGGGGCAAAGCTAAGTATTAATATTATAAAACACGTTTGTGCAGATCAAGTTTGTATTCACACCAGATTTCTTAAAAGCTTTGCATTCAAAGCCTTTTTTGGTTTAAAAGTATAGTTTCTGATCCGTGGCAAGGTCATCTCAACTACAGTCATTATTTTAGATCATGGAAATGGAAAACTTTTTTAAACAGTGAATTTCTCTCAGAAGAATATTCAATGATAAACTAAAACACATCAAACAAGAAGCATTTTTTTCTTTAAATTTGACCCTTTCTCGATATTAAGAGTTATTTTACTCAATAAAACAGAGAATAAGGATTAGTGTGTGGAGGCCTCTGTGTCTACAGTGAGTCATGCTATATGACACTAAATACTGCCCCATCCCTACAGTCCTGGCTGGATGAAAGGTGGACAGGCAAGAACTGCACCCTCAGCAGAACCTTCACATAAATAACAAAAGGGATTTAGTCACTTGATGCTACCAATTATCACCCCAAGGCACAAAACATCCAGGGAAATGTAAAGCCCCCCCCAGGTCTCATATTTTTAATAGGAAAAATACTAGGATGGTAGAATGGAATTTCTTAGTTTTCTATTTTGGAGAATACTACCAAGCATATTGGATTAAATAACACTCCCTAATTCTACACCAAAGGGCAAAAATTCTGGCTATTCCTCAGCACCAGGTTGAGGCAGAGGAGAAAGGGGGTTGAACCCTGGCATGTCCCCTGACTTATATGCTTAATTCTATAAAGGTTCTAGACCAGTGACCTCTTATCTATCAGGACAAGGAGTCGCATAATGTGTTTTTAAGGCTCCTCCTGATGATACTTTATTAACATGAAGATCTTCTCAATTTTGGAGTTTCAGTTGAATTCTGCAGAAACAAGGGTTTATAAGAACATTTCTTTTAACTAGTGAATGTGCATAAGTTTCAGAGAAGGTAAATTTGAGTATAACTGAGTTTTAATATCACTTCTGAAGTACCGTAAAGCCTACACATAACACAATAGTGTTTGGTGTCACAGTGGGAACACAGTTATGGGTACTTGATTCTAATTAGCTAAGAAAGCAAAATGCTTTAAGATTTGTTAAATCTTAAAGCATCAGATTTGTTTTAAAGCAATTTTGAAAATAAAATCTTAGTTATAGCCCATCTCTCTTATATCAACCTGCATACAAAATGCAAGTTTGTATCAGTTATATGCCTCAGGTGTGTAAATACTCTTTTTTTTTTTTTTTTTTTTTGGGTGGTGTGGAAATGGAATCCAGGAGCCTGTGCAAGTTAGTCAAGCACTCTATCACTGAGCTGCACTCAGCCCTTATTTTTGATCTTTTAAAGGTACTTTCTAAGGATCTCTGAGAAAGTACAACTTTTAAAACAGTTTAATTATTCCCAAGTATAGATTTACTTTCTCCTATATAGTTAACCTGATTTTCATTTCCTCAGAGAATCACCATAGATAAGCTACTGAATGCATCACAGTAATTACATTTAAAATTCCCACAAAGTTTGCTTACATGCCGGATGGCCTCTTTACAAATTTGCCTCCCATTCTGTATGCCCCAAACCAAAACACAGGCATTTAGGCTGAGCCTATCACAGTGATTTGCATTAATAATAACTGCAATAAAAATATACATATATTCAAGTAAATTTTCTGTCCTAGCAACACACAAATGTTTGTTGAAATTAAAAACATTAAGAGTACAACAAAAATAGTCTTCTCTTTCGGCATGAAAACTGTTGGAAGTACAACCAAAAGACAGTTTGGAAGATGCTACTCTAAAAATTCAGTGTTTAAGAAATGAAGCAAAATTCAATAATGAGGAATCACTCACCAATCTGTTTTCGTCAAATACTTCAAACAGGAGCCTGTGATTAGAAGGGTTTACCTACAAGGAATACAAACAGTACTTCAGATATAAGTAGAAATCACTGGAAGGATGAAATAAGGGACAGCAAGAATAGGATAAAGCTTTAGAATGCATCCAACTGAAATGTATTAACAAACAAGGAACCTACTTTTCTGGAAATTCTGTCTGCTAAATAAAATTTTGTGGTATTGATTTTTCTATATAATATCAGAAAAAGGCAAAGGTCCTTAGTTTTTTTTTTTTAGAATAAGAAAGTAATTCTGAACAACTTTAAAGAGTTCCTAATCTGCTGGACAAAAGCTTCCCATGCCAATAGATAAAGTCCCTGCCTGAGGGGACCTCTTAGACCTGGTGGTGGTGGTGATGATGATTAAAATAATGAAGAAAACAGTAAGAGCAGTTATTTACCATTGTGGGCTTAGTTTTTAAGTACCATCTCCTTGTTAAGTATCAACTATACCTAGTCTCATTCAATCTTCACAGCAATCCTATGACATGTAACTATCACCTTTATTTCATGCATGAGAAGCTGAGATCATGCAGGTGAAGTAACTTGCCCAAGAGCCCAGAGACAGCATATGAGGCAACCAGGATTTGGAACCAGGTCTGGCCTGCTGTTGTTCAGGGCCTGGGCTGTGAACCATCAGCGACAATCAGAAAGAAAATGCCCCTGCTTCCAGCAAGCGGGGGCCAATGTCAGAGCTACTAGGCTTTTAATGATATTTTTTGCCTTTCTGTTTTTACCGAAACCTAACCAAAACAGCCCATATATCATCATTCAGATTCAGGTATCATTTACTAACTACCAAATGGTGAGAAATGGTGCCAGGAGTTCTCGTTTGTATTATCACATGTCAGGGGAACATTCTACCCATAAGGACTTCTCTCTCCTACGTGAGGAACAAGGCCCCCAGGGAGAGTGAGAATGCTTAGTGGCTTTTCCAGGGTCAGAAAAGCTGTAAACAATAAAGCCAGAGATATAATCCAGGTCTACTGTTAGGAGGCCTTGGCTGCTTCCTGACAGAGAATGGAATGAAATTACATTTGACCACATAAGCACAGTGAGCTCCACTTGTGTTTTTGGCCCGATGGTTGGCCCATAGCCTCCATGACAGAGCAAACAAATGGCTGGTGGGTTTGCATCTGCTCAAAAGCTTTGGGAAGCAAAGTGCTAGTTACCAGTGAATGAATTCACAGGCCATAGCAAGAGCTGGGTACATAGGTGGCAACAAAGATTTGCAGAGGGACCAAAAACAAAGATTTTGAAAGCAAATAAGCAAAAACACTAACAAAAATATATTTTAAATGAATTTATAGCCAAGAATCACTGAAAAAAGTTTTGGATGTACTATCACTCACATAAATATGATTTAAATATAAGAAGTATGAATATTTGGAGTTTCACAAGAAGGAAGCTGTATTTGAGAGTTAACTAAGGGCAAATAACACCTCATAGTCCCCAATAGCTGTTCAGTACTTCGCAGAGTAATTTAAAATACATCTGGTGGAGGCTGAACACAGGATCTACCAAGTATTAAAATATCAGTGCCATATTTCAGCTCTGAACATAACAGAAAACAGATGCAGGATACAGTAATCCAAGTTTGGAGTACAGAAAATCCTACCTCAACTGAAAGAAAGAAAGCAGGACAATTATGTGGGTCTAATGGCAATATAGTTCTTTGAGAATCTGCATTGATTCGAAGATCTAATCTGGTGTATTTTTGCAAGTGAGCGTCTATTAATACCATAGATATATAGATATTTTTAAAACTTTCATTTTAAGGAGAAAAATACTTTCTTTTAAGTAAATAGCTGAGCAGTTTAATATTTCCAAAATTTTGGCAACAAAAAAACCCAGCGACAACCAGGAAAGCTCACTAAGCAGAAATCTCAGTTAATACAGAAATCAGTCATTTCTACATATAGCTGTTCTAGATATTAAATAGAAAAGATTGGGAAAATTTTACCTTATTTTGTGGCATATAAATTCCAGAAGTAATTTTACAGTACTCACGTAAATACATATACTAAATATCTGAATCACAGAAAATTTCCTTCCTAACTTTAGGAATGTAATTTTAAAAAAAAAGTTAATTTGAGGTGTTGGGGATTAAACCCAGAGCCTTCATGTATGTTAGGCAAATGCTCTAGCACTGAGCTGTAGTAAAAGCCCCATAATTGGCATTGTTTAGTGCTTCTATGTTTCAACTCCTGTTTAACTATAAAATAATTCATAATCCATGTCACATAGGAATAAACCATTGTTTAAAATTACATTTGATCTTACTTTTTAAAGAAAAGTTTATAGAGTTGCAACGATAAAATACGGCATTTGGATAACTTTTATTTCCCCAAACATCTTCGGATGAAACAGTGCAGATTTTGTGACCACTATTCACTCTCTTGCAAAATTTAAGACATTAGGTGGTTACTCAAACATTTCTCATATTAAAAGGAATTTCTCATTAAAAATATAACAGTTTTCCCTCAATATTTATTATGATGTATCAATCTAGGTATCAATAACAAGTTAGTACCAAAAAAAGAAACTTACTCTAAAATAAAATTCTTCATTCCACTTTGGGTTCAGCGTCTGGAAGAGAAATGATTTTTTTAATACATTTTACAGTCTTGGAAACTAACAGTTAACTAGCACAATACAGGCTTCATATTTGTCTAAATATTTTTCTTAATAAATATTTTTAAATGGCAATAAAAACAAAATTTAGTCAATTACTTGAGACTATTCTACAAACTAAAATAGGAGGGAGTATACCTATGAAACCAATGATTCATAGATATGAAACCATACTGCATGCTATCACCATGAGGAACAGTACCAGGGACTCAAAAGAGCCATTAGCATGAAAATATAAAATTTCCTTTCAAGAAATTAGCATTAATATAATTATTCTATCAAGAAGGAAATGAACTTTATTGACACCCCTCCTAAAAAGCTATTTTGGAGAGCAATAAAACAGGTTGGGGAAGTCTGAATTCTTTACATATAAATTTGACATCAGAACAATATTTTATAAAGAATATCAATGATGATCAGACTTTATAATACACAAACTGCTGGTTATAATGAAAAGGATGCTCCCCCCAAAAACAAATAACCAGGTTAAAAATATTTACCTACTTACCCTTCTGTCTTCCTCCCTCCTACCTTCTAGTTATCTCTTTATGTGCATATCTCACAAAAGCATGACAAAGATACTTTTGCCCTTGGTATGAATGAGACAGACTGCCCAGCATCCTAAGATAAAACACCTTCTATGAAGGAACACACACCTATGTGCATGTGTGGTTTGCACAGGTTTAATATTCATGAGCATATCTCAAAAATTATGAGTGGGGGAGGAGGAGGGAAGGGAAGAGGATGTACCTGAGACTGAAATGGAGCAAATTAAATTCTATGAATGTATGATTATGTCAAAATGAATCAAATTATTAATGTATAACTATAAAATAAAAACATTTTTTAAAAATTATAATAATTTGAAACCGAAATTTCACTACCTCATCCTCAGCTACAGATATTTTTAAAATAATATTTGCCTTCATCCACCTATTTCCTTTAACAGAAGCAAAAATAAAATAGTACAGTGCACCATAAAAATACAAAACTCTAAATTGGCGTAAAAAAAAAAAAAATCAGAATTTTTTTCCTCCATCTGCAACTCCACAGTCAACCCAATTCTAAATAATAGGGATCCATACTTTTGGATTTGAATGGAGCAGGGGTGGGTGTGGGCTGGGGAGGGAGCGGCGGCGGCTGGGCCCAGGGCGCAGTGTCCAGGAGGGAGCTCCACGGAAGCGCACTGGTGGGCAGGCATGGAAGCAAACAAGCCAAGAGCATGAAAGGAATGAGAACCAGTCACAGGGCCACCAGGAAACGGAGGAGACCAACGACAAGGGCAGTTTTTCCGCTCAGGCATGGCAGGACGCACAGGCATACTAACCAGGCTGCTGGGATCGGAGCTGCGCCCTCCACCGTGCACAAGGAGGGGGAGGACCTCCCGGGGACAGGAAACATTGCAGTGTCTCCAGCCGCCGCCCTGGGTCCTTGGCTCTGCGTCCAGCAGGTGACCAGGGCCCCTGCTGCCTTCCCTGAAAGGTGCCCCTGCTCACTGCTGAAGAACAAGTGATAGCGCCTAACACAGGGAACAATGGCCTCCGTCCTTCGCAGGCATCCTCCCACTAATCAAAATACCGGCTTCTGTTTGCAAAACAGATTTTAATGCCGGTCTCAATGCCAGGTCAAGGGCACCCTGCATTACTGTTCCCTGCACAGAAAGACCTGGCTGTAGATCCACGGCTCGAGAGTTACAGTATTTTTAAAGCACAATGCTGCCCAAGAAGTGTGTGGAATCAAGAGTTAAACATCTGCCCCCCCCCCGCAAGGCAGTGAGGAAACAGTAATAGTAACCTACAACTAAATCTAAAACGGAGCAAACTCATTTTTGACAGAAAACGTTCATCTTCCATAAAGCCCTCAAATATGAGGTAAATATTTGCATATATTTTACATATGCATCCAAAAATATGGAGGCAGGCAATTTTAACTATGGAAACAAATGTGTGACGACTATACAGAAAAATAAAACTTGTACACATATATGAATAAAACAACATGTATATTTTAAAGTTTTCAAGTAGTGAAGCAAGTATTTTGCTTTCTTTGATAATAGTTGTTTCAGGCTAAACCATTCCTTTTGTGCCAGTTACATAAATAATTCCATTTCATTAAGCATATTCTTGGCAAGAAAAAAAAAATTACCAATTGTAATGACTTGTTTTCAGAATGTTGTTTCTGCAGACATTTAACTAAAAATCAAAATTGGTATCTTGGGTTAATAAAGAAAAGTTTTTGTCTATGCAGAATTTAAATTTAATACTGGTAGATGCTTAAAATAAAAACAGTGCCATCTTAACCTT